TATTAGCTCTACTATAATACTCGTCGATAGTGGTACACATGCCCAAAGTACGCAGCCTGAAGACCTGCCGATCGCGCACGATCGATATGGAGCACCTTTTGAAAGTGCTTGTTCAGCGTATCAAGGAGTCCATAACTGAAACCCCAAAGGAAGAAGAGAACAGTGACGAGAGCGATGGGCCAGATAGATTCTCGCAGGGTGAGTTCCGCTGCCTTGGTGACCTTTTTATCCGAGACCTTTAGCGATCTCTCCTTGAAGAACTTTTTGGCGCCCATGATGAGAATATTTCGATAATTACACCAACTTCAAAAAGAGAGAGAAAAGAGCAACTTCGGAAGCAAGAGGAGAACAGCAGCTATTTACAGTCTTTTTCGGTTGGAGCAGACCCGAGCAAAGGGGGCGGTAGTAACACATTGACCGTCATAGAAAGAGGGTGGCATCACGGTTCTCCTGCGCTGTAACCTCATTAGGGAAAAGTCTCCAGTAGCTTGAGTATGTTTGTTGGAGAAAAAACCTGGGGATTTGCGGGGGAAGGGGGAGAGGAAGCCTGAAACGGGTTAGTTGATGGAATGATAAGCATGGTTTATGGTTGTTCTGGTCTGGACATGATTCAGGTTTTTGCGCATGGGATCGTTGCAATGATGGACCGAGTGGGAGGGTATCTGGGTTTAGGATGCAGTGAGTGATACTTCTAGAAGAGTTTATAGAGATATGCATTGCTTTCTAGAGCAGTGAGTAATAGGGAATATTGCTGTTTGGTCATGTTGTTGATGCATATCGAGCAATTACTCCAACTTGTCAAGGATTCATCTGCCGAACGTGGCTGGCAATAGCGTCAATTCTCAAAGGCACTATCCCTCGGCAAGTCCCTGTTTCTGAAATTATGACCTCCTCCTGCTTGATTACGATCCCAAGAACGCGGGGGCAGACGTGAAGTGAAACACAAAGCTAAATCCTCCGCTCGTGATACGCACGCTTCTCCGCAACTTACGTGCATAGAGCGCCTTCTTATTACGGCCATTTTCATGTCTATCATCGGACTATTTTCTCTTTAACCGGCTCGGTTTGTTAACTCCATGCCGAATGGTAATCTACTTGGCACGATGAAGGGTAGCCAATCGCATTAGTTTGTTGGTTGCGAGGAAGTTTGATAAAGTGCTGTGTCTCAGGATGGGAGGTGAGACAAGGGCAGTTGAAGGTTTGATGTGAATCGTTGGTCGAAGTGATTTCGTATCAGAAGGCTCCAAGTTAAAGTCTATTCACTCCCCTGACCATGATCAACGAGTGTTCTAGACTTTGTCACTGTCACGTACGAGAACTCAGAGAACAGTCATCTTGTTCACTCAACATCACAGTGCCTTACAGCGTGAACATCCTTTCTGCACTGGCAGAACATCGAATACAGTTGTCATCCAACATCCTCATTCACCTGCATCTGAGAGAGGACCGAGAGGTAAGGAGTAGGGGATAAAAGAAATGACGGCTGGCTCATCGAAGGACATATGCAAGGAGCCTTCAAGTGAGTAAGTAAGTAGAACCAAAAATAAAGTCTTTCTTTTAGTGCACGCTGTGTCAATAGCACAAGTGAATCTATCTAACCCAACCCCCTGAAACTCCAAACTATGTACCATTCGCTCTTCGTCCACCTCTAGTACTCCTATCAACATGTCTCTTAAGAACCTTTCTCGTCTCCACCAAACTCCTCTTATGCTTGCTCTTCGCCTTACCCATCGTCATGAAAATATTCTTGTTGCGCTGCTTCTCCCTATTACTTGTACTCTTGCCCTGGGCCTGCATCTTGGACTTGCTGATAGCCCGTGTGCTCTTGTGCTCCTCGCGATCTGGCTTGCCCTCTTTAGCAAGCGCAACACGCTCTTCTTTGGTGAGTTTGCGGAGACGTGCGGGGGCTTCGATTTGCTCGGCGGTGAGACCGTCGTCGCGGTGGCGGTCTTCCTCCTGTTGGCGCTTGCGACGGTTGCCCATTGCTTTGTCGATGGAGGCGGACATGCGGAGTTCTTGGAGTTTGGCAAGATCGGCGGGTGTGAGGATGGTTGTCGTGGCGAGCTTGGAGATGCGGTCGATTTCAGCCTCCTTCTCCTCCAGAGCCTTCTTGGTCCTTTCGTCCATGGCGGTTTCTTCATCCGTCTTTTGCTTCTTTGATGCAGGCTCATCATCGTCATCCTCCTCATCAGAAGAGTGATAGACATTAATCCAGTCCCCAGAGTCGCTACTGTCATCAGAAGCAACCTCCCACTCGTCAGACTTGTTTCCCTCATCCTCTTCATCAGTAGCAGCATCCTCGGGAAGACCCTTGGCAAGTCGTTTCTTCTTCTTTTCCTCCTCCTTCCACTTCTCCAGAAGCTCCAGACCCTCAATACCGCCGGCATCCTCCTCACCAAACTTGCGCTGGGCCTGAATACCAGCCTTCAGGTTGATAGTAGCATTCTTACCACGGTCTCGCTTCTTAAGAAGCTCGGCACCGACCTCTCGGTACAATGACAAAAGACCCTTGGCAGCCATCATAACACCCTTGTCCTTACTCTTGCGGTATTGGACCAAATCTTGTAGTAGAGTATCGGTCATAGCCAAAGGTTGACGAGCGCAAATTTCACGAATGGAGTTCAGACCAGCAGCAGCGACCTCAGCGGCCGAAGCTTCTGAAACGAACTCATTTGCGATCTTCTGAATCAGAGGTTCCAGCACGTCAGGAGGCACCAAGTTATGGACTGCCTGCGCCAGTGAAGCCAGGAAAGAAGTAACAGACTGTTGTCGAGGAGTAAGGAACTTGATGAACCAAGAGTAGAGCGCCACGATAGTCAACTTGTGCAGACCAACAAGTCGGGTAACTAGTTGTGTCACTAGAATCTTCGTATCAAGAGATAGCTTCGCCTTGGTGTTTTGTAGATGTTTCGAAAAGAGCTCCTCAGCAAAGTTCTGAGGATCGTGGAGGAGGTGAAGAGCTGAGAAGTTGAGAGGATGAGGCTTTGTCTTCTTGCGCTCAGCGCGCTTGACCTTATCAACAGCCTTGTCGTAGGCCTTCTTCGACTTCTTGGTCTTCTTGTTGATTCCCATCTGATGCTTGACCTGGCTCAGGTCGACCTCCTCATCACTGCTCTCGTCTTCAAGGTCCTCACGTTCTTTATCTCCGCCCAAGAAGAAGCGAACAGCGCCGACAACAACCTTCTCGTTGTCGGACAGACAAGCCTCCTTCATGACATCAACAGGCTTCGCATCGGTCCAGAATTGCCGCTTCCACATCTCACGGGTGAGCTTGATGGCCCAAATAGCTCGAGGAGAGGATCGATCGGCGGTAACAAGGTTGTAAAGAACGGTTTGAACGGTACGGTTGAGAGGGTGGTTGATAGATTTCGTGTTCGAGTTTCGCAGATCGCTCAAGATCTTCTGGAACAGAGTTTCACGGAGAGTTTTGCTCGGCGACGATACGAGGATGGGGAAAAGCGTCGTGAGGACGCTGGTCGAGTCGATAACTTCCTTTCGTCGCAGCAGGACCAGACTTCCCACGATCTTCTCCCGCAGCTCAGGGTGCAGAACTACATGGTGCTGTGTAAGAATAGCCTTCAGATCGTCGGGAAAAGTAGCAGTCTCTTCCTTGTAGCAATCGGCGACGTGAGCGATTAGATCGATGATGTTGTGAAAAGACTCGACAGAATCGGCGGTCGCAGTGCCAGGCGAGACGAGAAAGATCTCGCGCTGAGCTTCATACTGTTCCCATTGCTTCAAAAACTCCTCCTTGTACGACCTAGCGCTTCGTATCAGTATTTAATCGCAGCGTCGAGAATTTAGGGACGTACTTGGGATCGCGACGGATTTTTTGTTGCAGACTCGCGCTGTAGAAATTGTCAGTAAATGGCCAAAAAGAAGCTTAATTGTTTCGCAATCGACGTACAAGTCAGCATCGAGCTTCTCGAGCGCAGCGACCTTTCGTTTGACCATTGCGACGTTGAGGCCTTCGCTGTTGATATGTTGATGTGAAGCGGGAGGGTGGGGGATTGGTCCCTTTGAACTTTGTCTGCGAAGGAAGAAAATTTGGGAGATTTTCTGACTGATAAGATAAGCTCATCCACACGCGGAATTGGACCGCTGTTCTAGGCCTCAACTCTCAACGCTGGCAACAGATAGACAATTATAACTCTAGATAATGAAAATGTTATATAGAATATTGAAGAGCAATAAGCATAAACAATTATGGTTTGTCAGGAGTCAAGTGTGTTGATTTGGTTCTGCACTCCAATAACACTCTTTGTCTGCTTTGGTATCCTATATTATTCGATCATAAACTTAGAACACCTCTTCAAGCTCAAGACCTAAAGTATTCAGAATATACCGAAATTATTAAATGATTATTATTTCCTTATGATGGTTTTTGTATTTCTTATCTAAAACTGTACACCGTTAGGTATAGTGATCAAGATATCATCAGAGTTAGCCTATATGGTCTTGGGCCATCTGCCTGTGTGTGTGCATAATGCAGCTCAACTGTTCCTAGCTACCATGCTGTCTGTAGAGTTGCAGGCATTGTGATTGATGTGTGAGGAGAGATGATTGATGGCGAGAGAGGGAGAGGCAGCTGATGGATTAAGTGTATGAGGCTCAGCGAGAGGTCCCGTCACCAGACCTGCACAATGATCACAGCGTGATCTCAAAATGACACCAGTTCAAGGCATTAATCATCTTCAATCGAATCGAACCATGTGGTATTTCTATTTTCGGATAAGGTATAGATGGGCGGCACGTGGGGGCCTCGTGGGTTGGCATGATGTGAAAAGAAGGAAGGTGCGGTAGCCTGATGCTCAGCCTTATTTTAACGACATGTCATGATGAGCAGTATCAATTCAACGCGAACAATAATTTTGTATATGAATTGTCCCTTAATGAGTTCTTCCTAGATGCTAGAGTGCTCAATTGACATCATTTCCTTCAATTGGCCCTAGGCAGTTGCGAATAGCTTCACGTATCACAGTCATGATGAACAAAACAAGTAGATATAAGAGTCCACAAACTCCCAGTCTATGATTTCAGCGTAAAAAGAGACTATTATACAACCCTTCGGCGGGGTACCACCCGTCTGCTGCCCATTAATGCGGAAAGGTATCATAGGCAAACATGAGTCTAACACGAGCATCCCCCCTCCACCAAAAGATCACTTTTTTGTTTCCCAGACAGCGAGAGCAAATCTGGACGTCATCCATGAGCTCCTGCTAAGCTGTGTTTGGCATTAACAGCAGCTGTTGTTACAAGTAGGCCCAGCTCTTGGGCAATACTTGGGCCACGCTCCCCAGACTTCTCATATCACCTCTCCCGCTCCCCGAATCGTTCGAAATGTGTTTAAACGCGTTTAAGCAGCGATCTCTACACCTCCTGTGGCTCCCATGGCCTGGTAAAAATGCGTTAAAATGATGTTCAGAACTGTTAAGGGGGCTGAAATTGACATACCTTCTTGAGATCACCGTAGATGGCGAACTGACCGGCGGTGAGGGTACCGACCATGAAGAGACGGGCACCGATACCGGAGTAAGAGCCACGGAGACCGAGCTCCTTGCCGATCTTGATGAGACGAGAGACAGTGCCCTCACCGGGGAGACCCTGGGTCTTGTTGATCTTGGAAAGCATGGTGTCGGCGGGCTGAGAGACAATGGCGGCGGCAAAACCGGCAATCAGACCAGAGCCAAGGTTGGCAACGGTCTGCATACCGTCGGAGAGGTCCTTCTTGGGGAACTTGCGGAAGACAGCCTCAGAGACCTTCTCGTAGACGACGAACTTGGCCATGGTGTAAGGAATCCTAACAGGCAAAGTCAGTTTGCTGAAACTCAATTGAGCGGTATAACAGCGGGAATACTCACTGCTTGAAGAGAATGGGACCGAAACCGGCGTAGAGAGCACCGACACCCTCGTTCTTGACAATCTTACCGAAGCCAGAGACGAGACCGCTGGCGTAGGTGGGCTCAGAGACGAGACGGATACGGGTGGCCTCAAGAGGGCAGAGAGCGATATCGGCGAAGAACTCAGCGGTGGCGGAAGAGGCAAGGTAGACAGCAGTTCGGTTCTTGGAGGCGGTCTCGTAGCCGAGAGCGTCAATCCACTGCTGCTTGAAGAACTCGTAACCACCGAACTTCAGAGCACCCTGGAGGAAGTAACCGGCGAAGGTAGGGCCGACACCAGTGAGGAGAGCACCAGCACCCTCATTCTGGACAACCTGGCGGAAACCACCGACGAGACCGCGGTTGTAGGTAGCGGGGTCGAGCTGGATACGGGTCTTGACGCTGTGATTTCAGAGTTAGTGACTTGTTCTTTCGGTTCGATTTGGTGCGCTTTTGCTTCTCCGTCATAGTTATCAAGGCTTGCAGTACTGAAAAGTGTCCATCTCGGGCCAATTGAGTTCCCCGAGACAAACCCGCACACCAAAACCCTCTCAAGCAATTGACGACGAGAAACTCAGCGCAGAGGCGATTCAAACATACACATCGACGGGAGTGAGACCACCGTGGGTGACGGAACAGCAGACAGCACCGGCAAGGGCGAATCGGGAGTAAAGAGCAAGACCAGACTTCTTCTCGGGGGTCTCAGCCTTGATGTTCTGGACGACGGCGTCGACCTTTGCGGAACCGGTAGAGGCAGCCATTGTGAATGACGGGTTATGGGATCAGACGAAAAAGACTGAGGGGAGATTAACAGGTGGTGGAGTGAGGAAGGAGAAAGAAAGGGAAAGCTTTTGGTGTTTTGAGTGACTTTTTTTTTTCCTTTTGGTCCCGCGGCGGAGCTGGGGGGGGAAAATAATGCCTCCTTTGCATTTTTTTGAGCTCGGGAAGACTCGGATAATCGGCGCCGGCGAATGCACGGACCGGGCCAAGGGGACATGCTACGCAATTTGTGTCCGTTAGGTAACAAGCCAGAGACTGGTTTTCACACTCATGATGCCCCATACCATGCTATCCACTGGCTCACAGCAGCCAACAGATCTTGAATACAAGACCCGGGGTAACAGTAGAAATTGGGGATCTCCCCTGTTAGCCTCCCAGAAGCAAAGTTGGCCAGTGACGTTATTCAAAGACCGCTCTTTTGGTGTATCACCAAGCTATCTCATAACTTGCAACATGTAACCTGATAAATGACTGACATTTCTCATACTCTGCCAAGACCTAAACATCAGTGAGTTTCTAAATCTCTTCATCTTACTCATACAAAATGAAAAAAATGCCAGATGTTTTTGAATTCTCACACACTGGGCTCCCCGAGAATTCCTCGGCCAGACCCACCAGTAACTAACCGTTGCTCGCCAACGTGTCCACGGCATTGGTTGGATAAGACAAAGACAAGTTTTTTCTTGCGTGCTTGTTTATTTTATTACCGGGTCAGCCAATGGATATTACGCGATAAGCAATGTCTCTTCTGTTCGCCCCTGCTTGACTCGGCCTCGGAGGTTAATCAAGTTCGCGACAGTGCGTTTTTCTCCTTCGACGTCATACCCTGTATAGTTTCATGAAGATGATATTCAGGTGGATGGGAGACTCTTGAGGATATCAAAGTTTTCAATGCCTCTCATAGACTGACTTTTCCTCAGGTTTTCCTCTTCTGTCTAGCAGCCACTTCGGTATGCATCCAGCCTGTATCATGCAGCCCTGATAGGCGCATCTCAGATGAATCGCCGGTTTCACCACCTTAAGCCGACGCTGAACCACCATAGCCATCACCCCTGTTCAGCCAAGCTTAACCTTGTGTTTCTTTCCTTATCTCCGATAAGGAACTTACTGCCGGTCCCAACGTTTGGTTTGTCTTTCAGTGAGTTAATGTCATAAAATAAGTGAATTACCTTATATCAGAACATAGCATGTTGTCAACTTACACGGACTTGTGATTCCATCGCTCCTTCCTGAGGTCAATTGATGTCGAGAAACCTTCCTGATTTGGATATTAAATCAGTTCAACAGTTCATGGTGACGTCGATGAGGCTATTCGCAAATGCAGGAGCGCCATTTATTTGTGGCCCAACTTATGGTTCAAGCTCGCCTTGCATTGCATATCTATTATAGAAATCATACAAGATTTCAAATAATCACCAACGTCAAGCGCAGGAGTTCATTGCTACCGTAGATCCCTCATTCCCTATCATCCTTGCCATCCCGATCAAACAGCTTCAGGATATTCTGATTATCATAAGCTGTCACTAAATCCAAAGTAGAACGCCCATCAACATCTTCTGCCAAAGGATCAACTCCCTTGTCCATAATAGCCTTGAACAGACACTCCTTCTCGTCTGCCATTTCATGAAGCACAGTTCGCCTTTTATCGTCTCTCGCTTGCCAGTCCACTCCCAATCCATCCAACCAACTCACCACCTCATCCGCTTTATCGTCGTCATAGCCTCTCATGGCAAGGAAGAACGCTGGTGTCTGACCAGCGTTGTTGCGCGCATTGATATCCAGTTCCAACTTCAAGAAGCGCTCAAAGGGGTCTCGAGTGTGGCTTCCATCGTAACAGAGGCACCCGAAGACGCCGGAGGCAAGATAGTGTAGCGCGTTGTTCCCAAGCCTATCAGTAGCAAGCATATCTGCACCCTGCGTGATAATGTAGTCAAGCCAGTCGGGCTCAGTTTGGTCAAACTCACCATGCGCCAGCGCGGCTAGGCCATAGTGGAGTGGTCGATACCCATCAGCATCAGTTTGGTTGATTAGAGCCGGTACAGCGTCCCCAAGATCCCTGAGTGCCTCCAACTTATCGTCGTTCAGAGCTCGAGATCCGAGTCTAATATGTAGTGCGTTTCTGCCAAAATTATCCACTGCCAAGGCATCTGCCCCTTTGTCAAGCAGGAGTCGTAGAGGCAAATAATCTTCTCTGGCGCCTTTGCGACCCCTGCTTGACACTCGCTCACAAGCAGCCAAAAGAAGAGTTTCCCCAGACCCATCGCGGAACTCCAGGTCAAGACCGGCTATCTCTAAGATCGGCCCGTAGACACGTTTTACTTTCAAGATTTCGTGCACAACTACCCTTTCGGCCATAATGGGTGGTCTGAAAATAGGAGGATTCTTAGCATAGGGAATCAACTCAACCGTAGAATCCTTCTTGTACCATGCGTGGGTCGCTATAGCTATTGGTAGGGAAGGTCTGTTTGGCAATCGAACCTTTTCAACGATGAGTAGGCAATTGGCATATGGGCTGAATCCAGCCCCCAGTAGAGCTTCCATCATCTGTTTGGCAGCAGCATCTCGATCAAATTCAACGCCGCCCCGAAGCGTAGCAAATGCGGAGCTTGCCAAGATCAAAGGATGGCCTTGACGTATCATCTGGGCTTCCTGGGGAGTTGCATTTGGATCTAACCGTTTTGCATCCTCTAATGTTATCTTCCAAGACGCTGCAAGGGTCGAAGCCTTTTCGCCAGACAACAGAATGCTCAATATATTTGGGTATTTGGACTCAATCGCAGAGAGAATAGTGGTCGGACTGACTTCTGCTCCATGGCCAACCAAGAGCCGAATAAACTCTTCATGGTACGCTGCTTTGTTCAAACATCCATTTCCCTCAGAATCGACGGTGTTCACGTCAGCGCCTTTTTCGATCAGCGACTTCATTGCCGCAGTCCGGAAGGTACCCCATTTCGTGAAAGAATAAAGCAGTGGTGTACATCCCTTGTTGTCTCGAACTTCCATATTTGCCCCCTTAGAAATCAGATATGGCAAGGCGTGAAAGACTTGCCACCACTCTTTACCAGTGACTAGAACATGGAGAGCAGTAAGACCGTCACGACCTCGTGCGTTTATGTCGACACCTTTTTTCTCTACCAATACACGAATGACTTCCATATTGGGCGAAGAGCGTCGACAAGCCGTCACAAGCAGAGGCTCGAGCTCTTCCATGGCTTGTTGCAATATCCATTGATCATCATCAAACTTGGCAACGTCTTCTGGAGAACAGCAGTCATCGACTAATTGATAGTAACCATATTCGACAAGTCGCGAAAGGATCGACACACCATCGACATCAACAGTAGTATAGTCAGCTCCAGCTTTGTACAATTGCGTTACCAAAGAGAAGTGGCGATCCGACAGTAGTCGTGCTACTCTCTTCCACTTTGTATCTTTTGCGCGTGGGATGAGTGTCTCGCCTAGCACCGCTACCTCTGTTTGACGAAGAGCCTTGCTTCTCGATATGCCCACATGAAGAGGCGTTGGGAGTTCAAGCTGTCCAGCTTTCTCCTGGCAGTTCCAGAGGAGGTCCGTAACATAATCCTGCCACTCGTCTGATGCAAAAAGCATCGCACGGTAAAGAGCTGACTTTTGATCGTCCGAACCCAGAAACACGTCTGCTCCTGCATCAAGCAAAGCGTTGATGATCTCATCATAACGCGAGGCCTCATACACTGGATCTAAAAGTTCAAGCTGAGGCCCCGATACAAGCTCATCAAAGTACCTATCCTTGTTCTCGACAGTGTAACCAGCCGCGATGATCGTGTCGGGATCTTCCAACTGGTAAAAGGGAAGGTCATCATCACGAGGTATTTTCTTGAATGGCCCGCGCCTCCAAAGACGCTGCTCACGTTCGAAGAAGACACACTGAAGAATTGGAGGGAACCAAGGTTCAGGACAGCATGTGCCTCGGAGGTTATCAAAAGTTGGATTAACCTCAGCTCCTGCTTCTATCAGGAGTATCACGGACTCGATGATACCCGAGCGACTGGCGTAATGTAATGGCGTGTATTGGAAAATATCCTTCTGGTCGAGAGCCAATTTCGTGGCGTCGGGATTCAGCTCGTGCATGCGCTGAAGTAGAAGGCCAAGACTGTTACTTCTCTTACACCTCGAGGCGATGTGGAGAGAGTTCATCCCTTGGTTCGTGTTAACGAAGGGATCTGCACCGGCGCACAACAAACGGTCGACAGTGTAAGTGTTCGTGGAAGCGGCAAAGTGGATGGCCCTCAGCCCTTGGGTATCTGACGTGTTGACATCGGGTGATTGATTAAGGAGCCACCTCAAGCAATCCTTTGCATGGCAATTGACCCCATGGTTTCCGTCCAGACGCATGCGGCAAGCTAGATGTAAAGGAGTCGTACCAGCGTAGTTGGGTTTGTTTACATCCAACCCCGCCTTTTCGAAAAGCGAAAGGAATATTTTCCCTTTACCTGATAGCCTTATGGCATTTGGGATGAGAACCAACTCGTGGCATAGAGTGTTGCCACGCAGGTCCACGGCACAAGGTGACACACCAGCATCACAGAGGTATTGGTATACCTGAGTAAGTCTGTTATGTGCGTAATCAAGGTCTGTGATACTGCGAATCGCTTCGTGAAGAAGAGTTCGCCCATAATTATCGCGGACATCCAGGCTTGCCGAAGCTTTGATGAGATTCTCAAGAATATCAATTGTCATAGGGAGCTTTGGGGATCTGCCCACGGCCCGACATAAGGGTGTCCGGCCTCTGATGTCTCTGGCATCGATATCAGCTCCATATTCGAGTAGAATACGCAGACATTCGTCCTGGTAGGAGAAACCCTTGGAGACAAGAATATGTAAGGGCGTCTCTCCGTCAATATTTGGCAGCTTCGGATCCGAACCCGCTTCTAGAAGTGTTCTCAGTAGTGCCGGCAGAATGCTGTCTCCGTTCTTCCCATTCTCATCTCCAGAGTTCCCAGACGAAGACAATCTATCATAATGAGAAAATACGTAATGGAGGGGACCGTTTCCTTCGAAATCAATGACGGTACGATCCGGGCTGTATTTCAGCATCTGTAAAGCAAGGTCTGAATCATGATAAATGGCAGAAAGAAGAGGTGTCCTGCCTTTGCGGTGTTCTCTTTTGTTGATGTTCACATTCTCCTCTTGCAACAGGAGCTTCAGGTATTCCCTATCATCTTCCTTTGGCAGGCAATGCAGCGCGGTCTTCCCATCCTTTGTCTCAGCATTTGGATCAGCGCCCGCTTCGAGTAGACGTCTTAACTTGTGAGAAAACTGCGCTGAGTGTATAGGAGCACGACCCAGAGAATCTCTCTCGTTGACGTCTGCGCCAGCTTGAGTAAGTAATGCCAAGGCACGGTCAAAATCTGAACAGTCCAGATCCGACATGTAATGGGGAGATTTATATGGCCGACGTATGAAATGAGACTGTGGCTCACAGAGCTCTATCAGAGGGGTCGACCAGGGGCGTTCTAACACATTCTGTTGTTGGTCCCAGACATCGGCCTCCACCCTGCAAGCAACAGAAGCATCTGCACCAGCATCCACCAACACCTCAATTGTTTCAATACAGCCTGTTCTAGCAGCTAGAAAGATGGGTGTCTCGAATCCTGTAATATCATTCGGATTGACATCAGACTCCTGAAGAAGGCGTTTAACGAACTGGGGCTGCCTGTTCTTTATGGCGATGCGCAACGCAGATCGTTTCTCGGTAGTGTTTAAAAATGGAAGCATCGCTTCCAAACTCTTGACATGGCCGTATGATGCTACATATGACAATGGTGTATCTGCATACTTTTTGGTCGGCTCAGTGCCTTTCGGGAGACGTGGGACTGTAGGGGCTATCCCTTTTTCAATGAGTAGCTGAACAACATGTGCTTTGTCTCTCTTTGCAGCTACATGCAATGCCTGGTAGCCTTTAAAGTCATGAGTATCGGGCGATGCCCCATGGTTTAGGAGCAGCTCAATGATATCTGCGTGTCCGCTTAAAGCAGCCCACCATACCGGGGTTCTTTTTCTTGCGTCTTGTTCGTCTATGCTCTTCGGGCCCAGACGATCGATGAGGGCCGGGATGCACGCTTTGAGACCGCACAATGCAGCGACATGGAGATCCGACATGGAGATGATTTCATCTTCAATACTCAATCTTTCAGAGTCATCCAAGTATATTTTCAGCCAATTGTTTCGTGTCTCCGTATTGCCCATGAACAATTCAATTTGTTGATACAGTAAGTCATTGGGTAAGCAATCCCACCCAGATTTTGCAGCATGCACGTGCCAATTCTTTATAGCATACGCTGCGAACGGAAGGTCCACGTTGCGGTTGCGTTCGCGATGGATAGTTTCTGACGGAGTAAGCGTTTCGTTTTGAAGCCAGCCTGAGCAGAGATATCGGAGGCAAGTGAGAGCAAGATCGTAGTGCGTTGGTGAGGAGTCCAATACGGGATAAACATGTGTGCGGACTGTTCTTGAGGTCCCAACCAAAAACTCGGTCAGTGAATGGTGCACAACGCTCACAGCCTCGTCTGGCAAGATCTCGAGCAAAGGGCCACAGGCAGTCCGAACCAGATCCTTGTTCTCTTTCAGACTATCTGAGAATCTGCTTCCATCGACTGTCTTGAGCATATCGGCAAGCTCTAACAGTCGAAGAGGACGAGTTGCGTGAGTCACCCATTGTAGGATCATCACCTGCGTGTTCTCTGAAATGCCCGATCTCCGAGCATGTTCTCGTAGAATGCCGATGTACATATCATCTAAACCAAGTGGAAGCTTGCGGATCGTCTCATGAATGTCGGCTTCTGGCTCCAAAAATGCTTTCATAGCCAATTTAGCATAGAGGAACAGACCGTTGGCTCGGCCAGGTACCGCTTCTTTGACAAGCTGTTGATCGCGCGCAGAAAGAGAGGTGCCAGATAGCCAGTATCGCACGTAAGTAGAAATATCGATATCCACAGCCTTCTCGTCCATTCGGAGGTCAATAAATTCCATGCCTCTCATTGCGGCCTCGACATTGGCAGTGGGTCGGCTGGTCAACAACACCTTCACAGACGAAGGCTTCCAGTTACCAAGTTCAGCCAGCTGATTGACGAATTCGCTGTTTCCATGGTCCATTTCGTCCAAAGCATCTGCCACACAATAAACTTGTGGTATGGATGCCAAAGCTGTCCTCAGGTGTCTCCATAGTTCATCAGTTGATATGCTATCCAGGTCCCGACACTCGTCAACATAGGCCTTTAAGGTTGCCTGCAACGGGGGACAGTAGATGAGGATCTGATCCAACCAGTCTCTGAGAAGGTTGATGGGTCGGTGATTGGCATCAACAATCTGTCGAAAGAAGAAGTAAAGAACTGGAATTTCTTCTTGAGAGAGTTTGTGAATCATGCTGGCCGCAACGACAGACTTTCCGGAGCCGGGAACACCCTTGATCCACAAGAGGCCATCTTCTTGGCTCTCATGCCATTTGAGGTAGTTCTCTGATCTGCGAATCCATTCTCCGGTGCCTCTGAGATGAAATGCCAAATGTTTGCGATATTCGCTGCTTTCATAATCGTATTCTGTAGGTCGCAGCCACTCGTGGATGCGGGCAATAGTAGCTCCAGATTGCGGTAAGATATTGGCCGAATTATAATTGCTGGTGTCGTCTTTATTGATAACCACAATGTCACTGCCTTCAGGCGATGGCGATCGCTTGTCAGACATGTTGCTCAGCAGATTGATCTCTGTCAAGACGAGAAAATCCAATGTTGTGAAAAGTATGAGTGAAAATGATGAAATTCTTTGCGTTGCAGAGATGGCCGAATCTCATTAACATGAACTCCAAATTAATACGACATGATGAAAAGATAGTGATCGTCGCAGATCTTAAGAAGTGAAGAAGATGATTAGGCTGCAGTCAGCAAAAGGCATGGATTGGTTCACCTGATGATCCTAAGGGACTCCGTAGTCCATAGGACTTGCCGACTTCCCTCAGGCACTGCACTGCCTTCTTGGTCAACCCCATGAGAATGAGAAACAAGCTCGTGATGAATAATTTTCAGTTAAATATGCAAGTGATAAGCAGAGGTAAATTGAATTGAGTAAGATGGTATCCTATCAGAGGTGAAATGCCAAATGCGTTATACAATGCCCAGAAGGAAACAACTTGAAGGCTCCAATTCTATCCCCAACGCCACGCTAAAAGTTCACAGCCACAATCCTCCCAATCTTTTGCTACAACATATATCCATTGATATTCTCATTTCCTTCCATTAAAGTCTCTATCGAAAGCGAGAGTCTTATCCATGCCTTCCCATACACCGTGGCCAGTCTTTTGGCCTGTGGCGTAGAATCGTTCTGTGCGGTCTTGAGTGTTGGCCCACTGGTTAAGCATAGTGCCGCTGGAAGTGGCCTGGCCTCCAGTGTAAGTCGAGCCATCTGAGGGGTTGCTGTAGACGTAGTTGTAGGCTCTGAGAAATGACTGTCAGTGAATGAATTTTGATATGTTAGTACTGTGAACTTACTGGTTGGCAGTGGAAGACGACATGTTGGTTTGTTTTGTTGGTTCAGAAGTAGACTGGTTGGTTGGTTGTATGGTTGCTATAAGCTTGAGTTGCAGCGATAGGTTTAAAGGTAAGAAGACAGTCAATGTATTGATGATGATACCAAAATATTCACTCTAGAAAGAGGGATTCGCTCTATTTAAATCAACTCGAGTAACCCTCAAACGCAAACACGCAGAAAAGAACTTTGAGCAGCCTCAAACTGGAAAAACACCACCATCAACATCTCAACTCCAGCATCCGCGATCCAAAAACGGCCCCCATCCCAAATAGACAAGCCACGGTCGCGCAGAAGCGTAGAGGCAAAAAAAGTCAACCGCCAGGCTATCAACACCACCGTAAAGGCTTCAATTGGACGGTGGCGAAAAACAAACTGAAACGGAACTGCGCCGCGGACAGTTCAGAAAGTTGAATTACTCAATGTTTGGCGGAAATGGGACCCGTCTCAGACACTCGCAATTGCGCAGAACTCAAATCGTTAGAAACCCCTTGTTCCATCAGCCACAGAGGGAACCAGCGTGGTGGCTTAGCCGGCCCCCAAAGATAACAAGTGTTGAGTATGAGAAGTACTTCAGTGTGCATTTGGTTCTCATTTGCGGCATTTAGGAGATACCAATGTTTCATTGTTTCATAGATGATCAAAGCCCCTGAGTTGAGCGCATTTCAGCATATTTTCACTGATAGTCATTGAGGGAGGAACAGTATAGCTGCGCCACAGCTTCAATTCAGGATAGTTATCGTCAATCCAAGGTCAGATTGCCCAATAGAACAAGTTACCTTACAGTTCCTATATTATTATCTTATTGGAGGTCCTCCCAAAGATTTTGCTGCACGTTTCAGGTCGAAATCAGCTTAAAACATACGGGCTATGAGGGAGGCAATTATCACGATGCTGACAAGTTCACAACGGCCGCCATGAAGCTCAATCCATCCCTAAATGTCAAGGCCATGCCGATCATCTTCTGCTGGTCAATTGCCATACTATGGGGATATCATTTGCGAATTTGACCTTTTGACAAAAGATCATTTTCGTCCAGAGAATAACCGCACAAGGATTTTGACAAAGCTGACTAGGCATGCTTATTCAATGGTAACTTCGGGAGGGAACCGAAGTCTGACACATGGGCAGATTTTCAGTGCAGTCATAACGTCCTTTCAGGTCAATGTAGGGTGAACATCAAAGTCCCAGGTATCCGTCATGCCGAATGTCTAAAATTGCCATTGTTGGATATACTCGATGTTGTACAAACAGACTGAACTATTTACACCGGGGATTTCACTACCCTACACCTGGAGCATGCAGGCCCAGTATTTCGTGATATTTAACAAATTGTATCCAGACAATGACAACTCACCCAGAGTGACTGATCTCAGTCAGTTTCAGTAGCTGTGTGAAAGTTGATATTGTCTTGTTTGGACCTACCTGATCGGATTGTGCTTTATGTTACAGTAATTAGATGCGAGATATGTGAAGCCGAAATCGTCCTTTGATTGCAAAAAATGTTTATCATCTCACTCCGGGGTACATTATTCCTTTTACCTGAGCCGATTTTGGACAAAATGAAAATATCCAACCTGCTGTGATTTAGAATTATTCTCGAAGCCGTTATAGTACCATAGCAGAGCCTCATTGTTACCCCACTGAAGCCCTAAACCTTGGTCTCCATCAACATTCCAGTGCATCGGCAATCGAAAGTTTACATTCCAATGGTACACAGCCCTATTTGCAAATGCCGAGACGTTGAGGCATATTCGTCGTAGTTGTCAAGTCGTGGGAGCTATCGATGAATCGCCTGCGAAGAGCTAGACACGACATATCGACACACGGTTGAACATTCACTCGTGATAATGGATGCTTGTGTTGAACTCCGAGCTGAACATCGCGGCCCTTGGAAGTGAACCTTTAACACCGGGATTCAACCGACAGGCTCATATAAGTATGGGAGAGTTTGATATGAAAAGCATGAGCGCAAGAAGGTGATCAACGGCCGATTGACAGTTACTGACAACACGATCAAAGAAGTTAAGCCCTAGTCCTATCATTGTCAATTCCAGCCAAGGCAATCGACAAATCAACATAGAACAGATAGCGCAAGTTCAGGTGGTACACGAGGAAATTGGCAAAGACCCATGATTTGGAAAGGTAGTGGTCGATGGATAGGGTAAACACTATCGTTCGGCGTCAGCATTGTGTTTGAGTAACCCTTCTGTTGCGTTGTCGGAGATATGGAAAGTCTATCACACAAGGTAGATCAGGGCATAACATCAATATCAGTTGCAGTGAACAACAGATCCAGGCTGAAAAGGGATAGCATATCGTTGACAAGGGGACGGACATGAGCACTCAAAATAACAACAACACCAACACCACTGGGGACTGACAGCTTCTTTAACTCAGAGCTCACCACGTACCACCTCCAACGCAACTTGACAGCACCACACCATCATCACACTCGCATTGAACAAAACAGCAGAACTTAGCAGCCTCATTTCCGCAAATCTTAAGACTAGCTTTGCAAGCGCAACGCAAAAGCCTAGAATAGACGTGAGCTTGGCCAAGATAAGCGGTTCGCAAAACTATCAATTCCAAGTTTCGATAGCTCGACGCTTCGACCAAAGAACCCCTGCCTTCAGCTCGGCCTCGACCTCAAGAGGTCAACAGGGCTCCCCTCCCCTATCTGGGGCAGATCATCGGGACGAGGAGAGCTTCCTTCTCGGCTCCAGTTGTGGCAAAAATGTCCAAGGCACCGGAGCGTGCGAAAGCGAGAGTGAAGACGAAAATGACATTTAGATGACATTGCTTTTGCTATATGACGGGGTCTGAGCACGGGTTGCCAAGGAATAATGGGCTGACAGGAAAACTCAGTCTCAGCGTCACTATGGAGATAGTGTGCTGAACTGTAATGACCAAGACGTGTTAACGAATGCCTGTATGCTTCCGCATCAAGTCGTATGCTCCCATGACGAAAGGATTCCCCCTTTCCATGCTGCAAGCCAACACAGCAGCATCGGCCAACGAAGAGCTCACCAAGAAGGGAAAAAGCAGATTCACGCACGGTTTGAGAGTGACAGGCCTGCATGGAACTATCACCGTTGGCGTGGTGCGCTAACACAAATCGTCTCCGGTGACAGGGGGAGTATTGGTAAAGCAGAACGAGAAAGTGGATTGGTTTTTATATGGGGAAAAAGCGATAGGAAATAAGTACGATTGAGGTTATTCTGCACTGGAATGCGGCTTCAACCGATAGAACGTGTCGTTTTGTATCGTCTTGTCTCACACAGTAGATGACTCTCCACTCCCGCAGCCGCTGAACATTGAGGCTTGATATCGTTGACTCAACTTCAGTTGAGGAGAGCGACAAGACGAGGATATTAATTGGTCCCTGGGCTATCGCGTGGTAATGAGCAAGGATTCCTCAGATCCTCTTGAACCCTTAGGATTTTTGTGTGCGACAAAATGTCACCTCGTGGGTTCTGTCCCTTGCATTATCGCGATTTATCCAATTATCGCCAGCAAGGTATTATTTTATGAACAGGGAAGCACAACTCAGGGCAGGGGGTAGGGATCCTTGATGGCCCAATGAGATGAACTAGACTGTTGGAGACTTTGCAAATCAACCTCGGCGATGGATCCGAAGCACTGACCGTTTATTCATGCCAAAGGTTTCAATCGAATGACCAGACGATGTCGAAACTTGACATTTCACAAAGGGTCCTATCAATCATGGATTATCGTCAAAAAGGCTCCCCCAGTATTCAGTGTCACCGTAAATAAGACGATTATAACTACCGGTAACACGACAGCCACCGTCAGGAACGCCTTCGCTCCAACTCCTCCTTTTACCCCTAAAAAAGAAAGATTTCATTATGCAGATGCATAAAACACACCCTCCCGCATGCGCGCAATTGCAGGTCCCAGCTTTGCGATGGCTTAGCGCAAGTGGGCGAGTCACGGACGCCAATTGGACTCTAGAAGACGCCACAGCGCGAATAATGCAAATTGCACTTCTCGTAGCGCTTCCATTCTTTCAAAGTGCCCCCAAGCCACCAAACAACGGATCTTTCGATGCCCGTTTTTTTCGTGGCAATTGGGTTCATCCTTCTTTAATCTCCCCTTGGGTTAATGCAAGCCTCGAGAAACCGTCTATGACTCTGGTTGGGTTTCTGTGTGTTTCCTTTGTCAGTGTCGTCCACATTCTTCTGGAGACTGCGGACGCTAAAATCTGCATGCTGTCAGGTACCCGAACTTTCAGTGTTGATCGTGCGATGGTCATTGGCAGGGATCAACAAACACACAGGACTGGATGTTTTTGGATTCAGTGTGGTACCAAAACAGAATGTTCAGGCTGTGCAATCCTATAAACGGCATTTGATGAACCGAAAGAGGACGAAAGAATACTCAACAGTTAAACAATATTACTTTTCTTGCTCCAAATATACTCTCAATCGAGAGTGAAGAAAGGAAACAATAGAAGACAACGTCAGATGTGTAAGTTGGTGGAGTGGAAAGTTATCGTGAGGGGCTTCTTTCAAGCAGACCAAGGAAACAATTCCCACTAAAACGGCTTCTTCGGGTCCTTGGGGGTCATGATCCTACCATTCTCAGTCTACCATCACGATCGATGAGATTCGAGCAAAGATCTCGGTGATCATCATGACGATCAGTGAAAATTCGAGATGCCGAAACTTGGAATCTGTGGTTCTTCAGTCGGTATCGCTCCGTAGGGTAACGTATTGTCTGTCACTGACTCTCACTAACAAAGCCGATATGGATTGCTTGATTTCCTATTCTCCATATTGCTCCGGAGGAGACGATAGAGTGAACACTAAAAATAACAAACCTTCTTTGATGCCAAATCCAATGGGCGACAAAGACTAGCAAAGGAACAAAACGAACTTCCGATTACTAATAACATGCGATTGCAGTAGCATGGAGTTATACAGGAAATGAAGGATACTACCCGTATCGGTAACAGCAACTAAGAAACAATAGACAGCTTCAGCTGCTGGGATACTCCAGATGGTTATTCGCATCATTCAAGGTTGTCGTAAACTGTCTGGTCCAGCTTTGAGCTGAAATAGCGAAATGTAATAGCGCCCGACTTCCCAAGAAACCGGACTCTTTTGGTGCGACATCCGACAACAAACTATTGCTCAGCGACTCATTTTTACTAGCCAATACAGCTTTAGGCCTTGCAAGGTTGAATGTTTGTAAACGTCTCCCTGGCTCAAATAGACAAAAGACCATGTGTGTTAATCCCAGTATCGTATCGCTCCACCGCAGCTCTCGGCGACTGCCTCGTTAGCGACCCCGCTAGCAACGCCTGAAGTGGTTAGTTTAGCCACAATTTAGTCAGGGGTCAGGGGACCACACCTGTGGAGACCCGATTCAGCGCACCACTACCCAAGTGGCTAACGACTTTGTTCGACTGTTGCTTTTCCAATACACACATTCACGGCCAAGGCCGGGCTGACGGCACAAGAGCCCGTTATTTCCAGCACTGAGCAGGGTTCTCATTCTGGATTAGATCCATCTGCTCATCTTGCACATGGGTGTGAAGCCCTGCTCAATAGCGCCCTAAACTAACGCGAAGCTCAGGCACACTATCAAATCCGACTATGGGTCACCCACGCCCAACGGCCCACGCCCGCGAGAGGATGAGAAGAGAGAGTGAGAGAGATGGGGGAAAGGCAGGGTAGGGGATGAATGAATGGACCAGGCGCAGTCGGTCGTTTCTTGCATATAAACACCATCCTCCGACCTACATGGGCATGCTTTCCTTCCCACTTCTCTTCTTGTCACTCTCTCTTATTACAGTCTTCGCGGAATATAAGTGACTCTTCAGAGTTCCACCGCAGTCCATTCGTTCATTACTGAATCTGTACATTCTTTCCAACATAATGAAGAGCGTCGTCTATATGGCCATGGCCTTTGGCCTGGCTTCTGCCACCATCTCCCCCCGCTACGAAAACACTCCCGCGGAGACATGCGAGTGTGATACCGATGATCTTTGCTACCAGGCTGTCCACGCTCTCGGTGCCACATTCTGCGACCACATCCAGAGCTGCGAGCTCCCCTCAGCTTGTGCTGACCGTCAGACTCTTGAGGAGGCTTGCACTTGCACTCTCCCCACTACCACCACTGCTGCTGTCGTCTCTACCACTGAGACTGCTAGCACCGAGGCTGGTACTGCCACAACCGAGACTGCTAGCACCGAGGCTGGTACTGCCACAACCGAGACTGCTAGCACCGAGGCTGGTACTGCCACAACCGAGACTGCTACTACTGAGGCCGGTACTGCTACTACTGAGACCGCGACCACTGAGGCTGCTTCCACCACCACTGCCCCTGCTGAGTCCAACACCACCACTGAGGAGGACTGCGACTCTACCACTGAGGAGCTCTCCACTGGCACTGAGACTGCTACTGCTCCTACCGGTACTGAGACCGCCCCTACTGGTACCGAGACTGAGACTGCTCCTGTCAACACTGACACCAAGACTGAGACTGCTCCTACTGGCACTGAGACTGCTCCTGTCAACACTGACACCAAGACCGAGACCGCTCCCACCGGTACTGAGACTGCTCCCGTCAACACTGACACCAAGACTGAAACTGCTCCTACTGGCACTGAGACTGCTCCTGTCAACACTGACACCAAGACTGAGACTGCTCCTACTGGTACCGAGACTGAGACTGCTCCTGTCAACACTGACACCAAGACTGAGACTGCTCCTACTGGTACCGAGACTGAGACTGCTCCTGTCAACACTGACACCAAGACCGAGACCGCTCCCACCGGTACTGAGACTGCTCCCGTCAACACCAAGACCAAGACTGAGGGTGTTTCCACCACTGAGGGATCCCACGGTACCCAGACCACTGAGGCTACCGTTCCTTACACTACCAAGACTGTTTACACCACTGCTGTCCACACCTACTCTAAGTGCCCTGACTACGTCAAGGACTGCCCTTACGGAACTCACGGCCCTTACACCGTCACTGAGACCGTTGCTGTTTCCACCACTGTCTGCCCTGTGACTGAGGAGCACCCCAAGCCTACTGGTTACACCACCAAGACCATCTACTCTACTGAGGTTTACACCATCTCCAAGTGCCCTCCTTCCGTCAAGGACTGCCCTTACGGTTCCGTCACCACCAAGAGCTACCCCGTCTCTACCACCGTCTGCCCCATCACCGAGGAGCACTCCAAGCCTACTGGTTACGCTCCTCCTGAGTACACCACCAAGACTGTCTACTCCACCAAGGTCTACACTGTCACCAAGTGCGGCCCTGAGGTCAAGGACTGCCCTTACGGTTCCGTCACCACTGAGACTGTCCCTGTCTCTACCACCGTCTGCCCTGTCACTGAGGAGCACCCCGCCAAGCCCACTGGCTATGCTCCTCCTGCCCACAGCACTCTCTACACCACCAAGACTGCCTACCTCACCAAGGTCTACACCGTTACTCAGTGTGGTCCTGAGGTTCCCAACTGCCCTTACGGCTCTGTCACCACTGAGACCGTCCAGCAGACCACTGTCTACGCCACCGGTACCAAGGAGATTCCTTCTTACCCTACCGTTGTCGTTCCCAAGCCTGAGCAGCCTGAGCACCCCGCCCAGCCCGAGCATCCCGCTCAGCCTGAGTACCCTGCTCCTAAGCCTGAGCAGCCCGAGACTCCTGCCCAGCCTGAGCACCCCGCCAAGCCTGAGCAGCCCGAGACTCCTGCTAAGCCTGAGCACCCTGCTTACCCTGCTCCTCCTGCTAAGACTGAGACCTACAAGGCTCCTGAGCCCAGCCAGCCTTCTGCCACTCTTCCCTACCACGCCCCCACTGGCACTGCCCCCGCTGTCGAGGTCACTGCCGGTGCTTCTCGCTTCGGTGTCGAGATGGCCGTCGCTGCCGCCGGTATCTTTGCCGTTCTTCTGTAAATGCATCATGGAACATAAAACTTTCCCTTTGCTGTTTATTTATTACAAACATAATAAGCTTCACTATGTACATAGTATGATTTAGACGATCTTGGCTCGGCCAAGTAGTGGTAGAAAGAATGGTTACGATTTTTGGATAATATTGTGTAATTTTGCTGTTGAAGATACCATATCATCAATTATAGACATCTCTTAACAAGTCTCTGGTCACTTGTGATTCTCAAAATGCCTCGTCACTGAAACTTTAGTAACTCACTGACTACTCGAAGTCCAAATCCTTACCTTAAAGCTCACAAGTCCAGCCGCTTATCACGCGAAATCATTTAATCCTTTGTCGTCACTAGTGTCTCCATGTGATACCAGTTTTCTCAAACTCTATCTCCTTCGATTCATCATGTGGAACAGCGCTAGAACAAAGAGGAGGGGTGAGGAAAACAAATTAGGGGACCGTTTCACCCGGATCGTTGGAAACAAAAACAGGGCGAGATTTTCCCGAAAGTCAAAAAGGCTTGTGGCCGTTGAGACAAAAAGGGAGACATGTTTCTCCTCTGGAATGCGGGAAGCAGATAGCGTGGAAGGGTTCTAGAACATGGTGTGTTTTGAATGAAATGTGGCTTGAGTTGCGGTGTGAGAGAATATCGGTGAGGATGTTGAAAGAGTGAAAATGACAAAGGGTGAATGATACTGAATTGAGATGAAGAGACAGAGGATGAATCGTTTTGGACCGTTGTCAAGTTTATGGGGCATAGACTTTGCAGGGGCGTGTGATGGAAACATTCGGAGGTTTAAGAATAGCCGTGATTGGCTCTTCAGAAAGAGACAAAGAGAAGCCAACGACTCCTTGACAAAGATCCATGAGTCGTCTGAGATTGTCTCACCGCGCAATCCTCCGTTTGTCCCGTTACGCCCGTAACATTTCGGACGATGGCATAGTGTCTAGGTACCAGCTAACACAAGGTGGGTGTGGTGTCTGTCGTCGATGGCTTCAAGGTTTCAACAGTCAGCGATGAAAGAAACGGTGTCGTGGCTACAAACAACCAGACGATTTCACCGCTAAGTTGAGCAATGGCAGTTATCTTTATGGCAGGTAGTTAGGCCTGGTTTTCGAGGTCGGATGACTTACAGAGATCTCGAGCGCGGCTGTTTCAACTAATGAGGCGGCGAATGCAAGGGCTGATGACATACATGGCGCGCTTGGAGGGCGACGTTTCAGAGAAGGGATGCCAAGGCGAAATGTTTTCTATAACTGAATAGTAATATGGTAAGCTCTGTTAAACAGAAGTTATTCGATAATCAGATATACGAAGCATCCGATCGGTTGTAATGTCTAATGTCTGTTTACCTAACCCAACCCTAGCTGGGCAGTTGGTTCTTCGATTTCGCAACTCGATCATCGTCAGTATCGATTCATGAGTTCCTCTTGTCTTTTAACATATTGACATCATTCCTCTCCGCTATTGAGAAAAGAGAAGAAGCATTATACCGAAATGCTGCATAGAAGTTGGTGGTGATGCCGAAAAGCCTCGTTGGTGTGGCGCAAGGCTTTCTGTGCCTGGAGCCATAGTAAGCACAGCCGTGATCTGCGCCTCTGCATGTGTTCCACTGATGCCAGGGCAGCAACCAAGGTTCCCTCTGAATTGACAGGTTCGGCTCTGGTTCAGTGAACGAGAATTGGATATTCTAGCTTTTAATTGATCAGATAATTGAACAAATTGACGTTTGTGTCCAAGCTGAGATCATCGGAGAAGCTCATGGCCACAGCAATTGGGGGTTTACTGCAACAGCCCTGTAGCACTGTGAAACACCCTGTATTACAGCTGTCAACGGGAATGGCTGTAGCGTCATTAGTCGTAGATTAGATTATCTCCCTCGTCTATCTCCAGATCACGTCAATGCATCGGGAATACGGCACTCAGACCTCCTACGGACTTTGCTTCTCAAGCTATCCATTTACAGCACATTCTGTCTCACACAAACATCCATTTGTAGCACTCACAACCTCTTTCCGAACAGGCCTCCTGCGAGCCATGAGGCGCAGCACCTCTCTCATTCCACACTGTTCTGCAGGTTATTTGTGGCCCGCGGCCTGTTCTGGCGGCCATCTTTTTCTTCACCACTGCCCTCTGGCGACCTACGTCTTTGGCCTGGCGAAACAAGAGGGAGCTGACTTATAAGCTTGCAATTCCCGTATCAACCATCAACATCATGACAGCCTCGTGAACTTTAGCTAAAGCTGCATCGGAACCCCTCTGATTGCCTTTTTTCTATTTATTGTTGATTCTGATTCAAGCTCAGCGCAATGAACAATAACGTTGCTTCGCCGTTTAACCTTCAAGTTCCGATATCATCTGCTTCGCCTAGCGGATCGAACAACACCACAACTGGAAGACCGCCACTATGGACACCTTCATCGCGGCGAAAAGTCTCACGGCTTTATCTTTATACGACTCTCCCTTTGGAGAAGATTATGGCAGTCGTTCATGCTAAATCTCCCGATACTCCTGCGCCTGGGTATGCGTTTCTTGATATTGCGCTGCGGATATATACTAATAACTGTATAGTAAAGATTCCGCCCACAAGACACTCAATGCGATGCTCAACAAACAACCACGATGGCTTCATCCCAAAACCGAAGACGATATGGTGCGGCGACTAGAAGAGCTGGCTCTTTCTCCTACACGCACCAGCTCAACCCACAATTCCGTCGCATCTCCAACCCAAGGTTCTGGACCTATTCCAGCTCTCAACGCTATTCCAACGCCGCATCTTGTTAGAGACCCCGGTACTAGAGTTTCGCTCGAAGTTCCGCCTTTCAACCAATATCCCCAGCAATTTATCCCAAATAATGGAACCGCCGCTCAAAGACAGATACAGCAAAACCAGGAGGACAACAGTACTTTTCGAAATTTCTTACAGCGACCTACATTCATGACTACATCGACGGACTGCACCACTGGAAGTTTACGACAAATACTCAATGACTATTCACACCCGTATGTCAAGACGGTTAAGCGCCTCATAAAACGATACACAGCACCTCTCAATCGTCGAGGAACCAGTCTATCGCCCATTTCAGATGAAGAGCCAAGCGTGGCATCATGGCTCAACGATCGTGACGCACCGGTTCATTTGCCCATGGGACCTTACTACCTTCCCGGAAACTTCCTCTGCATCGACGAAGTTGCGCACTATTCATGTCATCCACAAGATGAGATTCATCAGACATTGGCTTGTTTCTGTCGCCCTATCCACGAGATCGAAGAGCCAGCTTGGATCACAGCACACGGCCCTACTCAACATGGCACCAATGCCTTATCAGCTGCTGTCAATGGTGGTCCATTTGAAGAGCGCGATCAGTTTGGACACACGGCATTTCATCTGATGGCTGCGCGGTTCTTGTCAGATTATCTCTTCCAGGCAATTATCTCGGACAAGGCCAACTATATCCTGAATGTGCAAAACACAGCGGGCCAGACACTCCTCCACGTATTGCACACTAACTGGTTTCAACCTCAAAACCAGGAGTTGCTGAAGCAGTTGTTGGATGCACTCGCTCACAAGGGATTCGACTTCAGTGCCCGTGACTACTATGGACGCTCTTTCTCGCATATTCTTTTATTGCGGGATACACCACCCGAGCTACGAAATTATGCACTCGGACTGTGCAGTGCAACCAGTTATCAGAAGAGGGACGCCTTCAACGTAACGCCTACTTACTCAGCCATCCCCGAACCTGGAATGGGTATTAGCAGGACGAGCACACAGGCTATGGACGTCGATCCCCCGGTACCAATGTCTCGACAAGCCAGCATCGCTGATCCTTGGCACTTCGACGATATCCATCAGGAGACACAACTTCTCAAGTGCATTAGCGAAGCAGAACTCAACCCCCGACTTGAAGACAACGAAGGCCGCAATGGACTCCATTGTCTCGCAGCCGCCACACTCAGCGAAACTAGTATCACGCAAAAGTACTATCTCGATGAGAACGGCGTGCCAATTGACCGAAGGCGCAGAAGGGACAAGACCGTCAAGAACTCGGACTCGTGCACCGATAGATTGCAATTCCGCCTGGTTCTCCTACAGAACTTGCTCGACGCAGGCGCCGATCCAAACCACTACGACATCCACGGCAACACACCCCTAATGGCTTTTGTCGCCCAGCTCCCCGAAGATGATGACTACAGAATCGGCCCCGACATCATTCGACAACTCATCGATGCCGGCGCGCAAGTCAACGCTCGAAATCGATCAGGCGAAACAGCACTCCATATCGCTGTTCGCTGCGGTCACAAGCTCGCTGTTAAACAGCTCGTTGAGAGCGGCGCATGTGTCCATGTTCGCGATGCAGCGGGGAGGAGTGTCCTAGAAGTCGCGGATGTCAAGATGAAGGGTTTAAGAGGTCACGATGATGCAGAGTATGCGCACCTTGAGGCGTGCAGGGCGTGGTTGAGTGGGATTTCGGGAGGTGCAGTACAGGAACCGACAGTTTTGCAGGAGTGGGATGTTGTCTCTGGTGATGAGAGTTGAGGGAGACGGATGATGTATGTATCTAAATGGGGTTTGAACTTCAGAATGGCGTTGGGATAGAAGCGGATACCCAGGTGTTACATGGCAAAAGAAGGTATAGACTTGCTTTCACTGTACATATAGGGACTTTAGATCTCCTCAACACAAATCAAGAAAGAAGTAAAAGCGATGATTCTCTGAATTCCTTGTAAGATGTTGGTGACCGTGCGTTCTAGAGCATATACTCTCATCTGAAGTGAGGGCACACGCCACGACTGTGCATCACGAACTATCAATAGACTGAGAAACTGGAGGAATTAATCTAAACTGGAAGATAATTTGAGCCCGACATAATGATGAACTTGTCATGGATATTATTGGCGGACTTTTCAACGGCTTCAATAATTCCTCCAGACCCTTTGGCCTCTGTATCTTCTAGTCCCAAAAGGGATCTATCAACGCATCGCTGCACATTCGCCGTCATCCTGCAGTACGATGGCACCCTTATTCCCCATGCTAAAGTCCGAAAATGAAGGTTGTCTCAATCTACTCACAATATGATTGGCCTTTCGGACATCTTGGCGAAAAGCGTCAGCATCGGCCCCTCCCACGCCGATGGCTGACGCCAGCCGCGATGTACTGCAACACCCATACTTCATCTTATTGGTATGCACCATATAATCTCAACAACATCAATTTCGGACTTTAGAAATGGCTTTCAGTATAAATACTGTGGGAGATTCCCACTTGACTAAACGTATCATCCTCAACATTCACAATCAAGAACAACTACACACAAACACACTATAAAACACAACTTGAGTCTTATAAGCAATCAATTCAATCATCATGTCTCCTCACTCTGCTTCAACCACCACCAACGACCTCGTCAACGAGTATGCCGACATCATCAAGGGCAAAACAATCCTCACGACTGGTGTCACACCCAACAGTCTCGGCGCCACCTTCATCCTAGAAACCGCCTCCAAATCCCCATCTCTTCTCATCATCGCAGGCCGCAACGCTTCCAAACTCCAAGAAATGTCTGAAGCCATCACCAAGACCAACCCAGCCGTCAAGACCCGTTCTCTTGTGGTAGATCTTGGCTCTTTGGCTTCAGTGCGAAAGGCTGCTGAAGAGGTCAACAGCTGGAGTGATGTGCCTAGCATTGATGTCGTTGTTAACAATGCTGGAGTCATGGCTATTCCATATACCAAGAGTGCGGATGGTTATGAGATGCAGTTTGCTATTTGCCATCTGGGGCATTTTCTTTTGACGAACTTGATTATAGATAAGATTCTTGCTTCGGAGTCACCTCGTGTTGTCAATATCTCGAGCAATGGTCACAGCCTTGGTCCTATTCGCTTCGCTGATCCTCACTTCAGTGTAAGTCATCCAGCCTTGCATATTGTACCATACTAACTTCAACAGGACGGCGAGATCTATGACCAGTGGAGTGCCTACGGTCAATCCAAGACTGCAAACATGCTCTTTTCTGTATCATTGGCCCAAAAGCTAGGAAGCCGTGGTCTTGAATCTTACAGCGTTCACCCAGGCCTCATCCTGTCAACTGGTCTAGGCACACATCTACTTTGCCAGCATGGACGCTGATCTCGGCACTTTTAGTCAGTCATCCCACCACCCTTCCAAGTCTCTCAGCTAACAAACCCGCAGTCAAATCTCATCGCGCACGAGGCAACTCTGAAGGATGGACCGCTATTCCCCCTGTTCCCGTCGAAGTCGGCGCTGCGACGCATGCTTTCGCTGCTTTTGAACCCAATATCAAGGGTAAGATAAGATATCATGTTCAAGTGGGTATATATGAATACTAATATTCAATAGCGAGCAATGGTGCTTATCTTTTGGAAGCGAGGGTTTCTGATCCTTTTGTTGATACTGTCAAGGCTTGGGCGCGAGATACCATTGAGGCTGAAAAGTTGTGGAGGTTGAGTGAGGAGCTTGTTGGGCAGAAGTTTGGATATTGATTGTTGCGATGCGCTTTTTTGCGTCAAGGTAACAAGGAGTTTGATTTAAAATTATAGACTGTAATTAAATGCTCGTTATTGTCGCTTCAATATGTATATTTCACTTCTTATTCTCTCGTCCTTTACCTTAGCTTGCGATCTGCATGTTTCTTCGTTCAGATGTCGCTTGAAAGCGGAAGGCTGGAGATGAACTTCTTTAATGCAGATTACCGCGCAAGAAAGATACTTCTATGGCTATTTCACTCACTCACTTCCATATACATAAAGTTAAGAGGAGTTTCTTCTTCGAAGTGGTTGTTAGGGTTGGCGTGCAGGGGAGGCAAGAAAACTTAGGACCTTTATCCTAAGTGACAAAAATAACTAATCTAAAGGCCTTCTATGTCTGCACTAAATTTAATTAAGTCTTTTTGTCACTTAGGATAGAGGTCCTAAGTTTTCTTACTCCCTGAGGCCGTGGAACAAGAAGCCGTCCATGGATCTCACGTCGTACGTAGATTGAGATCCGACGTATGACTTCAAAAGTGCTGCAACAATACCTTGCACCAATTTAATTTTGCTTCCAAGTCAAATAGCGAAATTGACATCATAAGTGCCCCTTAGCAAGTGAAATAACAAATTATAGGCAATTGAATGGAATTGAGTTCTCACCTGACAGCTCGACATGAGCCGTCAAGATGCGGTGGCATGCTTTGGTTGGCGCATCTTCCGAAGCATTGAATCATCAAGGTAAATACGGTGAAGCGCTTCACACAAGCCAAATTATAATGCATAAGATATCACAGAACATGTCAAAACATAGACAATGCATTTGACAATTCAAGCGATATGAAATAATGATATTTCACAAATTGCAGTCCCTCATCCGCTGAAAGCTAGCCCAGGCAGAGCTGATAGCGCTGCGTTGTGGCGCTGAGCTGCCTATTTGGCGGCTGAACTTTGCATGCTACAGCAGCACCCAGCACCTTCTCCAACCTGAACTGGCTGTGACTGCCTGCTTCCCCGCCGATCCCGATCACTCACTGGCCACTGATATGAGGCTTCCGCTACTTCTCCAACTTCACTCCATCATTTTTGTTTCTGCAACACCATCGATACTCTGTATCTTCACTCCCTCTTCACTTCATCCAGCTCCGCTGATCGCCTTTGTTGCGTCGACTTCGCTCTTTTGATCGTCTTTCAAATCTACACCCTTCCTTCATGATCGCGAGATAACGATAAGCTCATGGCCCACGGCTATCATGAGTGCTCTCGACCTTGATAGTGCCCACGATGGGGTCACCGATCAACACCCTCCAGAATCAAAGGATACAGAGTCTTCTACCGACTCACCTCTACAAACAATAGAGACTCCTCTCAAGTTCCAAATACCTGAAGATTGCCGCACCTTCTTGCCTTTTCCTCGCCTGCCGCCAGAGATACGTACCCAGATATGGCAAGCTACCCTGGAGACTCCTGGCATGCACTTTCTCAAAATCGATACCGACTGGCATCCAGCAACAGGACTTGGAAAATGGTGGCTCAAAGAGTCGCTATTCCTCCACGCAAGTATTGACGATGACGATGAGGAGGTTGATCCAATCGCGCTCGAGGTCAGAAGGGAAGCTCGCCCTACAACAAAGGTGTACGCTACACTAAAGCCTCTCTACCCCACTCCACAAGCCGACATCTCTTATTACACGAATCTCCATCAACAGCTCACCAAACTTTCCGTCACATGCAATGAAGCTGCCGCTGTAGCCAAGTCCCTTACAAATCGGTCTACGACTTTCCGGCTTAACACTGGCCGGATCGTTAGCCTCAACTCCTCCTCGGATGTCATCTATCTTGAATACGTCCCACCTGAAGTCTACGAAGACAGCATACGCTTCAACAAGCTTCTGAATTGCTCAGGGCTCGATCAAATTCGAAAGGTCGCGGTCAGATACTGCCACAAATGGTATGAGCAACAATCGCCCAGGCGATGTCCAAACTGCGGCCTGATTCACAACACTCCTGATAGAGTCAGGTACCCGAAACACCTGTACAGGTTTTTGGCTCAATATCTCCCCAATCTTGAGCAGTTCTTCTTTGTAGATTACCTCATCCTACGAAGATCTGACCCCAATGCTGCCACGGATCACTACGGGTTTCAGAGTAACTTGATAGGTAAGCGATGGATGACAAAGGCTTGAAAGACCATATCACTGACCGCATTCAAGCAAAAACCGGCACATGCAGATTCGAGGGCGGGAACAGAAGCTACTTCGAAGCGGACACACAAGATTGGAACATCAATTCCCGAGTGCTACAAGTCAAATCCTGGCTACAAGATAATTTTGTTAAATACGCCAAGGCGAGTAGCTTGAGCACCCACAAGAACCCAGAGAAGGTCGAGTTTGGTGTTCTGGCTTGCGAATGGAATGTTGAACCACCATCAGAGCCAAGGAAGGCACTGGCGACACCGGTCAAGAAAGGAAGAAATAAGAGAGCCAATAGCGAGGAGCACACTTTATCAAGGACGACCCGACGAGGATCGACGCCAACGGTATCAAGTCCTGTTACCGAGAGCCTCCCACTTGACGTGGCGATTAACTTCCCGTTTGTTTTTGACGCCGGCGGTAGCAACAACTTTGAATTCACCTTTTCTATGTCCCTATAATGACTTTACATGGATTTTATTTGGCTTTTGCGAGGAGTTGAGGCTAAGGATGAGACTTGGGCCACAAGAGCCAGCACTTTGATGCTTTAGGAGGACGGCGAGCACATCACACCAGAGTGCTCAGTCACGAGTTATCGTTACAGAAATTAGATTAACTTAGAGTATACATTTTCCCGATGAACCGTTACCTTCAAGCCGAATTCTACGATTACGCCTCGCTCCTACGCTACGGAATTGTTTCTGTATTTACTCCTATTACGTGGATTGCAACAGACCAGCTGGAATATGTTCAGTAAATCCCCATCATGGTGAACTCATCCAGCATATCTTTCGTTATCCTGTTTATCTCCATCAACTTGCTCGGTCGGGTCGTCCACCTATCCTCCACATCTCCCAACTCAGTATTGAGCATGTCCCGATATCGTTGATTGGTCAACAGACCCGTCCAAGCGCTTTGGCTTGACCATGTACTAGGGAGCCCCATGAGAAGATTCATCTGACTCATAATGTGGCGAAACGTCTCGGAGAAGAGCACAAATTGGGTAGACGGCTCGATCAGAGGTACATCGGCAAACGACATCGGAGCCGCGTCGATCAGGTCCTGATGTGGATCCGATATTGAGTTGAATATGATCTTGAGTACAACTTCAAGATGTTTGGTGAGTTGAACATAGCAAGATATTGTTAGAAACATCGTGGGCGAATCGAATACTGGGGGAAGCTCGGGAGTAGTGCTTCCGGAGGTTGGTGTCGTCTCATCCGACGACGAAGCTATTGACTCGGGAGATTCTGTGTTTGCCTCCAAGGCCAGCATCATTCTGTTTGTATGTGGCGTTCGACCTTGGCAGAACACAGTCCGTGTCCCGAGCTGCCGATGCAGTGTCTTCAGAACAACAAGGTACTCCTGCGCCGCCTTCAACACCACCTGAATATTCTGATACCCATTCTGCGTCTCCCGATCCTCACACACAAACGCACTCAGCCGAAAACAGGTCTCAAGCTGCGACACAAATTCCCAGCCCCGGTGGATATCAACATTAAGTTTCGACAGCCTCTCGAATAACTGCATACTAGGCACTATGATCTTTTGCTCAAGCTCGGGTGGATCAAGCTCTGACACACAAGGCCACGCATCCATAGGAAACGGGAGACTTTCAGGTGTATACCCGCAGAACGGATCAAGATTCCAGGCTGTGTCGTCCAACAGCGCTTGAACAAACTGCATATCTTCAGTGGGCTTGTGAAGCACCATGTCCTTCTTGGGCGGTCTGCCGACGCGTCGTTGCAGGCCGGCCTGACATGTTAGGCCGAGACGGGTGCAGCGGGCGCATGAGGGCGAAGAGATGGATCGTGAGCAGCGGAGTTTCTGGCGACGACAGCGCTCGCATGCTGAGCGAATTTGATTCGGGTGTGTGTGCATTGTTTGTTGGTGATGAGTTTGAAACGGTTGATGAGTGAGTTGGTGAGACGGAGTAGACGGGCATCGGAGGGTTACTGTGGGGCGACCGGAGGCTTTTAGGGGTGGAGATGCGGGAGGGACGGGAGGGAGGCGGGGCCGGGGGGTCTGAACTGAGTTGTGATTTGTTCGAATTAAAATTAGATGTCAGTTTTGGGTAGTGAGTGTTTGTATGTATCACATTATCTTTGCGTAATGAAGTTGTTGATGTGGCAAGGGTGGGCTGAGAGTTGTTGGGTTTATGAGTAGAATTGAGTTCTGATGATGTTTGTTTGAGTGTGTCGTTTTCTGTCGGTGTAAGCGGTGAGAGGCTGGGGCATGAGTTGAAGCGGATAGAGAACTTGAACCGTTATCTCTGAGATTTGCGATCATTTCAAATTGCAAATTCTGGATTGGAACTTGTTTGGTCGTATTATCTGTCTCTTCACATGCGTAATGGGAGGCTGGGGCATGAATTATTGAAACGGCCAGAGTCCAGCCTGTGATGTGATAGATGCACTATCAGATCTGATACACTACAGCTCCCGTCGGGACAACACTCCGCCACCACGGAAAGGCATGCCACCTCATTAAACACAACTCAGCATGTAGGACACAAGATGTTTTCTCTTTTCTCTTGACTTATCAAAACGATGATCTAATAGAGAGCTCGGACTTGTCGCTCATATATATCCCTTTCTCTCCCCCCCAACTTCATTTCTGTTTTTCAATTATTACGCCCCGGGCCTCCCTTGTGGTTGCGCTGGGGAAACCCCTTTTGCGACGATGCTATCGGTTTCATCTAATCGTGGTGTTTGGACTTTCGCCCTACTGCCGTCTCTTCTTCTTCTTTCCAGAGGATGTTGGCCAACATGACGACTTGACGAAAGAGCCCCGCGAGAAAGCACGGGAAACTGAAGCTGCTTTCTCACAAGATCCATCGAAGGTTCGTTCATCGTTTCTGACAGTTTTGATCTCTGGACTTAGCAAGATTAGCGCTCTCTCTTAGTGTCCCAGCTTCCGTCTGGTCTCAGCCCATTGGCAAGTTACACCACCGTGGACCATATGAGTCTGTTGCTCCGTCTTTTCCTTTTTCTCATGCACCCTTTCTAATACATCAGAATAGTGGAAGAAACAGAGACTTCGAGACTCCATTTTCCTTTCACCCTGAGCCTCAGAGAATGCCAATTGGCTATGCCCCCTCCAAAGTCCATCTTGTCTTTATGTCAATACGTTACTTGACAGCAGAGTCTCTGCCGTCATCTTGTGAACGTTCTTCTTGTTTCTTTTATTCAAAGAGGACGACAATAGTGTCACTGGACTACCAGTAGTGCCAGCATCACAAGTTCATCAGAACTGAATCCTGCTGGCAAGATCGTTGGGAAGCCTTTTGCCCCAGCTTGACATTCCACGGGGTATTCCCCTACAAGGACCGGTACCTGAGTATGACTATCTTCAACTATCAATTCACTGTTCGTTGCCCCGACCTTTCTCCCTTTCAGCTACTGAATCGCCAATCTCCTTCTCAAGTGCGAAGTATGAATGCGTTCAAGGCAAGGCTGTCTACCGCACGTCCTATAGGATCGCCACAGCTCCTTGTCAAGTCCAGATCTGTATTCGGCCCATGTGATTATGATCTATGGGGACCAAGACACAGAGGGGGATCGTGAGAAGTACCGCCGGGACCTCGAGCGTATTGATGCGCTCAAGCTCAGGCATGATAGGGTCATGGCCGCTTTTGAGCCAGAGTACCATCTGGCCGACGTCGGCGAATATGTTGCTGCATACAATACCAGTTGGTCGGAAATCAGGGACCTTGAACAGCCTTGCCTTGGCCGAAAAGGCAACTTTTGACCCTATCATCAAATAATGGCCTCTCCTGCGTGTGTGTTCCTACCAAGTGGTCGATGGGGCGGGAAAAGGGGCGCCATTCAAAAGGTTGGGGGACTGAGCCAGTCAACGCTCCTATCGTCGTTTCTCAGGACCAACCTTTTGGATGGCGACCTTCTTCCCGCACCATCGACCAGTTGTTAATTGTGAACTCCGGTACCGTGCACGACTGTTGATCCCCGAAGAGGTTTATCTTTGAGAAGTATCCGGACTGCAAGTCTGCTGCCCGCGAGTCGTCTCCCCCCCTCTTGAAAGGACTGCTCCCTTCAAGTCTGTTGCGCCTCATGGGAACACCCTCTTTGGAACAGAGCGCTGGCACTTTGCAGCCCGTATCGTCTTGCAAGGTGGCCCTTGAAGACGCCTGCTACTCCAGCCATTAATCCCAGACAGCTCAAATCTTGCTAGGCCGATGTTATTTATACAACAGACATGTTCTCCCTAATCTTGAGCAGGTGCGATTAAGAGTTGAATCTGGCCAAGAGCTGACGCAGACCTCGCGCCTTAACAATGCCGTCTCAAGTTCTCTTCCGCCTCTTTCTACTGTGCCTACTTCTCCTTCGCCAACTCCTCCTTGTTATTCTGGCAGGTAAGTTGCGAATTGCTGCAACTCTCCCAGGCGATAACCGATGACTTCATCAGAGAATCGATGACGAAGAAGAGCTTCGGAGTAGCCCTCTTACAATAAGGCGAAACCCCACCATCAAGATCAATACTTTGACCTGGATGATATGCCTCAATACCACTCGGAACAAATTCAAGATATTGTACGAAAAAAGAATGGAAGAATTTTCGCAGGATGGCTGTGCAAAGGGATGGGTACGATTTCATCCATCCCGTCCGCATCTCGGAGGATTGGCACGATGAAGCTGCGGTGGCTCAGGGAAGAGCGTCAGCACTTTGTAGGTCTGAGCTTGGCATTGATGAGATACAATACTAACAAAATCAGGTGTGTGCAATATGCATTGAAGACGCAGACCATCTGGTCTCGCTTCCATAGTCATCATCCCACGATTTGAGCAACGATGAAGACGATGAGCTATCCAAGCACTGATCATTACTTCGATATCATAAGCCTCGTCGAATCAGAGATGAACAAAGCCTCTGTATCTCTGTCGAAGTATGGGAGATTTCAGATATGCGTCTAGATGTCTGGCATCATCGAAGTCCAATGGCAAGTCACACCGAGCAACTGTGGCCTCGATGTGAGGATACCCATACGGCGATCTCATAAGGCGCAAGACAAGACCAGAACGCAAAGCTGTATCAGGGGGAGGGACCAGTTTTTCAAGTCAAGGTAATCAGAGAAGGATTAACTGCTCACACCTCGCTTGACCTAGCATGCTCTGCGGATGTCTCATTCCTTCGAAGCGCCCTCATGAAAAGGACAAGCGCTGGGCGCGTCACTTGAACATCAAGAAAGATGAGAAAGACCATTCTGAAGACCGAGGCTTCAAGTTTCGTCATAGCTGGTCTTCTCCGTCCTTTCCCCAAGCAACATCACGCTCTCACTGTGTGTCTTCCAAGGAAAACAACAATGGGCCAAGTCAACCATGACCGCTTGTCTGCACCTCTTCTCTCCTCTTCATCATTGTCAAGATTCTCAACAAACTTCGACATGGAACATGATAACAAAACCCATGAGCAAGAAAGATCATTTGAACACTGGCTATAAGCCTGGCCTGTTCCACCTTATCGCAACACAATCAATGAGAGCCGAAGCCTTTGCATTATGTCCCGGCTCAGCTGACATCTCCGCGCGCCACCGAGTCGCTTGCTTCTCCATTTCCCCCTGTTGGCCTGAACCCTGACCCTGTACAACGACATGATCGTGGACTTGTTGGAAAGTTTAGAGGAGCTTATGATGACCTCAGAGGACGCCGAGCTGGTGTAGAGGTTCACTTCCACATACAATCAGCAGAACCCAAACACCGTGGGAAAGCTAATCACAACGTCATTTGCTTAACCTTTACCCATCCACCCATTAGCTATTCAACCGCCAACCTCCACGCGTTCTTTCCGATACCCGATGACTAGTATCCCCGCCTGAGAGACTTCCTTCCATAGAAGCTGTCGAACTATTCTGCGAACGAAGTAGTAGCGGTGGTCTACCAGTTAATCTACCGAACCTCGGCTGCTTGAAGTAGAACGCCATACCGACGTGTTTCTCGAATAACAATGACTACAGTCTTAAGCGCACGCGCACCGACAATGACGTCGAGTTCAAGATACTGGTCGGTGACAGATTGGCCAATGCCCAATCATAATCGCACAAAATCTTACATTCCAACGACACAACCACATTAAGTCTGAAAGCGCGGCCCGCATGACTATCCAAGTCACTCAATGTGAGGGTATGCCGCCTTATACTTCATCAGCAGATACTTCCAGTCAAACCAACGTCAAACGTTGGCTCGGACGGATTCCATGGATGACGATATTGCTCCATTAAAGTCCAAAAAAAGAAGCTACTAAAAGTATTGGCATGGAAGAAATAACACTCAGAGCTCGCAGCAGGCTCAAGCGACTGAACAACTGAGAGATTCATCGCAATCCTCAAGGCTGCCTCGGCCTTATCGTATGCTGACCGTCTGAAAACAAACACACATTCTCGCCTATGGAGGAAAACTATTGTTTCGCTTGACCCGGAGTCTAGCTCCGCACATGGAAGCTTCCCGTCAAACGTTTCCATCAACACCACGGCAAGGCTCACCGTGTGTACGATGAAGAGGGTGATGGCATCGATGCAACCTCCTGACGCATGTTTCTCCCAGTCTTTGGGGGGGATGAGCAATATGTGAATATCAAATGTCCCGCCGTGCCAGCTGCATTTCAAATCTGCTCACAGTCACGATATGTGGCTTCCAGCGCGAGCCTCTTCAATATCGCCCTGTCTGGCGTCACGAGTTACCCTCGCACGGGCTAGATATCCATGGCTTGATTGTTGCACAGCATGACAGAATCATCTCCAAGCTTCCTTCCGACCTTGCCCTCTTCATGAAGAGAGGATTGAAGTGGCCCAAACATTCAACGATGACGCCCTCGTACGACAAACCTCGATCGTTGGGGGCTGGAAGATGAGAGCCACGAACGAGAGTGGGATCATTTCATCGGCATTGCACGAAGTAATGTCAGCCACTGGTAGGAGAAGCGATAATCGCTGTGCACTGTAGCTCGCCGAGCAACTGCAGCACTACGAATGGTTCGCAGAGTCCCCTTTATGCGTACCAGTCACAAAGACTGGAGATGATGGCTGCTAGTCATTTTAAGGCTGCCAAAAAGACTGAGAACACAGAAAGGACTGATCTGTCTCTTCCATGTTAAGTACACCTCCACAGCCAGTAGCCGAATGGTTGCTATCATAGGTCGTGCGCGTATCAACGCAAACTGGCCTGGCTTCAACTCTTCACGTGTCCCTTCTTGCGCACACGCGATACGACTGTCGAAATAATTGCTCACGCTTACAATGTCTAACTTGTAGCAGAGAACTAGAAGGGATCAGAGACCAGTTTTCAACACTTGCCATTGATCTTTAGATGAGTTTCCCGGACAGACCGTTGATGAATATAGAAGCCGCGATCAATCGACGAGAGAGAGACCGATTTCTTCAAAGCCGTCCAAATAAGCAGTCACATCCTTGTCTGGAGTACACACTCGGTTTGGTTCACTGTAGAGTGGAATGACGGGGAAGAGAGTCATGGGAGCCTGAGTCGGCACTACAAAGCCACCAACCAGAGCTGCCCAAGTTCCGAGAGATGATGGATCCAACGGTCTTGTTGAATTCCCTCTAAAGGTTATGAATAATGAAGTGTTTCACGTTCTAGCTACACAAGGAATTCAAGGCATACACCGGGCGGCTACCAGCTTCAAGATCAAGAGGTCGAGTTTCAAGCTTGGCGCCGACAATTTGTTACTGAAGGGAGTGGGACGGAAAGAATCTGGAACCAGTTCGTTGCTATGAAGAAACGGGACTCCGGGGCTGAACGGAAATCTTTGATCAAACAGCATTTTGAGTCTGGAGGTATAAGAAAGAAGATCTCAGCCATCTACTAAGTCCAGATGACAAAGATCAAAAAGGCCGATGCTACGCCTGCTGTTGTCGCAGCGCCGTGACCTCCCGTGGTATGATTGGAAGCCGGAGGGATTACATGCGACACAGAGACAGCGTCTAATCGAATATTTAAACAATGTTGCTCAGGGTCTTAGAACATCGAGGAGACATGTGACTTGATACCGGAGCCTCTCTTCGACCCTTGGACACAGATCGCCAAACGGTGGAAGTCAGACTGTGATAAATAAACCTACCTTTTCGAGCTTAGAGACGACGAGTTTTATGATACTATTAGCCCTCAGAGCCTAGCAATGACCAACCAGTCTCAGATGGTGGGCCCTCCATATCATAGAAAACCCACAACTCAAAGAGCTCAATGAAGCCTACCACCATATTGGAACCCCTTTTACCACCAACCGCGTCTCCTGGCCACCTACTACGCTCATTGCAACTGGGACAAGGTCAGAGAACTCATGATCAAAAAGTTCAAGCCCCTCAACCTCTTTACCCACCACCGGATGCATCTCGGAATGGCCTTCATCCAATAGTTGAAAGAAATCAACCCGATCATCCACCGGGATCAATCACCCGATAACTTTAAGCAACAAGCATGACAGTTGCCTATACGTTCTCCTTGATCTCAAGAGCTTGCTATGTTCGAAACCGTGCCTGGAGATGAACTACCGTTGCGACTTTGACTCTGAGAGAAAGATTACTCTATCATGAACAGGTCGACAGATACTTGCGATTCTGCGTTCCATATGATACGATAGACGAGATCCTGAAGATGGCAGACGAAGATTAGAGCCATTTTGGAACAGAGAGAATGACGAGATATTCCTGGTCTCTCTATCATCAATCTCACAACTGCAACACCGGCATTTATAACTTAACTCATCAATCACATCTGGTACAGAAGATGAGTTCTTACTGTGCTGGGAACTCCTCTGGTAATACTAAGCGCTTGGATCGCTATCGCCACTTCAAACTCCTGATGGTTACCAAGCCAGCAAATCATCAATAACCATACGCCTATTAGGGGCCCTGATCCTTACTATAAAGCATTTTTCTTTCCTTTCGTCATAGATCTCCTTGTCTGCAGAAAAAAGCGATACAAGGCAGAGCCTGGCTCAGAATCTACACTGGTCAGAACGGGCTTCTGCCTTTTATCTTGATCTGCGACCCGAGGTGCTCCATACCAGTAAGGGTTGGGACAAGGTTCCTGGCAAAGCTGACTTGTCCAAGCGATTAGTCGATGCCGATGACGTTTTTGATCAGCAAATCATCTGGCTTAACTACTGTTGCGGCGTCATATCAGACAATCTCGATGTTGAGGAAGATGCAAACCTGAAGCTGAGAGGATTGGCATTATAAAGACAGTGTTAAGTTAAGGACAAAGTTGACCTCGGTGGGGGCTGCCTACACAAGCTATCTCTACTCCTGCGCAAACAGACTTTAGCCAAGTTGCACTTCATCACTCATCTCCCTTTCGCGTCTCGACGCTGAAGGTATTAATTATACCATCAAGATCGGATATCCAGGGAATCTTATTATCACGCACCAGGCGCAGAATCATCTTGTCATCAACATAGGCCCTTGTATTGCACAGTCCATGAACTTCACCTTGCCCGATGATAGCTTGTGTGGCTGTAACTATTGGACAAGTCCCAAGTTCAGAATACTAGCCCTGTCAAGCTTGGCCCTGACGTCCCATGTGATTGCTTTGACCATGTTGATGGCAATTTCTATTATGCTATGTTCAACCGTCAACCAGCAAAAGAAAAAGCTAAAGGGGCTGCAGTTCGCCCGACAAAAGGCTTCTAAATATCAAGCCACAGTCCACACTGCGCAGGCCCATTTGCAAGGCTGTTTCATTCTTCTCGAAGCTGATAGTCTGCGCTTTAATCTTTCTCTTTTGCAGCCGCACGCCCCGCCAGGTTATTCTACAAGGCCCTGGCCACGGTCTCGCAAGGCTACATGATCTACCTGCGTGAGTAGTCAAAGGCACGAACTAGAGGAGAAATCGAACCCGAGGAGAAATTGAACGTGAGGTCGTTGTGCTCCAAGAGAAGGCACAGCAGAAATTCTGTTATAGTTTTCACGATATTATGCGAGTGATCTGCGAGGGCAAAACATCAGCCGGGAGAGGGAGCATATTGAGCTTTAGGCCATTAGAGGGAAGCAAAAGTTCTCAACCCTCAAGGCCCCCTTTCGAATTGTGCCATCAACACCATGCAACGCCATGATAATGCTCCACAAACTCGGCATGTTGGTCATCTTCATCCTCGGCGTCACACTCGCTTGGGTATACGTGATTGTGTCTACTACCATGTCCCAAGACCACCTGAATTTACCGAATCAACAAATTCCTTAAATTCTTTGCTCCTATTCTCTCTATCTCAACGACTTCTGGAGAATACTACGAACCAACGCCAAAATGCTACCCTAGGAACAATCGCTTCACCCAGACGGGTTAGTCCTCTGAGGTTGTAGACTCCTGTGAGGGCAGAGATTCAAACTATAAGCTCTTTGAAATCTCTTCGACAAACATTCTGCCATGTAATTTCAGCAGCCTCGACCGACATACCCAAGCCCAGCATTCCATTCCATCGATCCGCGCTCATTATCATACAAGTATCACTATCCATGAAATATCCGAGCCTACACCGAATCATAACATAAGATGTCTGGAATTGGTCCAACCCCATGGCTCTGGTGTTTCCTACAGACAAATGAAGATGCAGTCTTCCCTGAACTCCGACGCTGCTGTTGATGATAGACTAACCGACAAGCTGTGTTAACCCAGACTCTTCCGAGCAGTGATCCTCCTGTTCACCCACCCGCCAATGCATCTCCTGCATCTGTACCATCTTTCCCCAACCCTCCTCATATCGCCCCGCCCGTCCAAGATGCCGAAATGAGTGAGGACGATACGGCACGGACAACTACTAACAGGGATGTCGACAATAGGAGCGCTGGGAACACTGCGAACGAGGCTGAGGACACGGCGAGGTACAGCACTCACAAAGGTTTGAAGTATGTAAAACTCAACAACAAAACAAAGAATGGAGTGAAACAAGACGATTCTTTTTCGCCTGTGACTGTTCTTCCAGAAAAGATCGGTGGGTGCTCCCAACATTGGCGACACTATCAAGTCCTCCGAGGTGTCAGAATAAGGATACCAAGTGTCTCGGCTAGTCGTCAAGAGAAGCGCCGCCCCTCGATCTTTGGTTAAAATGCCAGGATCCCACACTCCATCTGAATGCTTACATTGATGGCAGTTAGCTGGTCACTTCTATATCATAATAATCGTCTTGAGTTCTTCCTCGATTAAGAAATCACTTAAGTGCAGTAGGCAATTACTTTGCTCCGCACCATCGAGTTCCCAGGATCGGCGCATCCCAGCTTACCCTCACTGTGACCCACGAGAATCCTGTCGAGGCTCTTGATGACATGGAGATCGAGAACGATTACGTCCCAGCCATCTGGAACCAAAGGACGAATAGCTTGAGTTTAGAAGCATCGTCATAAAGCCCTGATTACAAGATGAGCAACAGGTTTACCGTCACAGGTCTTGCTGCCAGTGATGATCTCAAAGCGGCAACATTATAAAGTCCCATATACAAAGGGAAGCGGATAATCGCGTTTCACCACGTTTTTTCTACATGGATCGCCCTCAGGGAGACGCTCATTATCATGCCCCGGATCATTTCGCTCGCCAGCGTAAGAAATGAGGTTATCCCTCTTTTTAAGGCAGCAGGTGCGGTTCAGGAGCATATCGATGCCTATTCAGCAATTCTTTCTGAACAAATCGCGAATGTTCGCGATTTTGAGTCCACACCCCACCGCCGCAGGAATCCCCAAGAGTACACTCAGGACGGATGAATCTTCTACACTACAGGAAGGCACTTTTGTTCTTGTCACACGTCTCTCCAAATTGCGGCAGCTTGTCTTTGGCCAAGAGATCCAGGATGCGCAACAAGCATTTGAGGAGGAACAGACATCTCAGGCCAACAAGATACCAATTGAATTAAAGCGACAGATTCCCAGCCCACCAGAGCAACTAGCCTCTGAAGATGAAAAGACATTTGCCAAGCAAGAAGAAGTTCAATAGAGGAGGGGAGCAGAGAGCAATTACTCATACTCTTGCTCAGTAGAACACTCAACACGTCCCAACATCTCCACATAATCGTCATTCCAAGAGGCCTGCCTCTGCTGGTACTGGTGCGGGACTTCACGTCGAAAATGGTATCATTTTAGACCCTGCTATAGGTGGATACTGTCTTGGATCTATGTCCTCTCAAAACTGATAGCAATCAAAAGCTTGCAGAGATACCCTCGACAACGTTTGCCCCGGATCAAACAACCAATTCAATAAAGTCGCTAGCCCACGGAACAATAAAGAAAACGTTAATCAATGGAGGTATTGTCAGAAGGTTCCCTAAGGGTACCTTACCTGAAACCCGTCGCTAGATTTACACATCTCTTCAATCGTCCGATCACCATGGACAGCCGCAACGGAGCTGAGTTCGACGACATCGATGAACTCAGCTATAACATCGTCACGATGACGATGATGGATGGAAGTTACCCTGACCTTGGTAGCTTACGAGACTTGATCAAAGCCCGCATCAACAACATACTTATGTGTCAGGAGGTTTTGGGCAAAATGAATGTCTTTTTGGACAAGGCGTTCTAAGAGACACAACCACGAGCCAATCAGTCCTACAGCTGGGGCGGCTACGACCGCTTCCTTGAGTGGCAGATGCACATGCGGCAGACAGGACCTCAATGATCGGGAGGGAGACTCAACTACGGAGATTTTGCCTGATACTTAACATCTTCAAGGAGTCATCTGGTGATATCGTCGCCAAGCCGGTGAGTCAGGAAGGGACATTTGGCGCCGATTGAGAACCATGTGGACTGGACAAGTTGACCCATCTTCATCTTCATCAAAGCCTGAATGCAAAATTCACACCAACAATAATGGTCACTCCATGATGCCAGGTCATCCCCATAGGTCTCAGCTTAACCTTTCACTATTATTACTTTCCCATCTCGCTGCAACTTTACAATACTTCCTTATATGTCTGTCAACGCCAACACTTCGCCCCTTCCCCAAACTACCGCGAGCCAGAGAAACACTTCATGCAGCGCCGTCGGTCTCCCTTTGTGATTGTCCTGCAATGAGAGACATGGTAGACTCCTCACATCTCAGTCAGTACGTGCTACATGTACTACCCTGTAGACAAAGTGTTTATCCAATAAGAAGGCG